CGGAATCTGTCATATGTTCTCCCACGCTGGCAGAATTCAATACAGGAGTTGACCCTGCACTTATTTTACTGCACCATATTACCTGACCCATTACCCATGTGTCTTTAAGGTGAACAATGAACAATGATGAACAATGATTTATCACGGGATAAAAGCAAGTGCTTGACACGTCCCGTAGGATGGTTGAGGTGAATATAATGAAATCAAAATATGTCTGGGTCATCTATTGAACGTCTGCCGAGATGAATAGTTTGATAAGTAACATCAGTGTAAAATTAAACTAAATTATCGAGCGTAAACGTTCAGAAAGACACTGGGGTGCAGTGATCACTGAGGTAAGGAGTGAGAAAAGTAAAATATGGTCACTCACTCAGGACCATTTGATACATAAATCCTGTTGAAATGCATCCTTGGCGTAATGCACAGTAGGGGAGTTTAGGTAACAAAATTTTGGGAGCTAAGGGCAACATCTAATCGTTTTTTGAAAACTTCCAAGGTAAAAGAGGATACAACTGAGTCTGGGAGTGCGTTCTAAGGTTTGCAAACCCGAAGGGAAAAGTTATTCCATCGACACTCTAGACAGCTGTATTGTTCCTTCAACTTTAAGCAGTTACCCCTGAGCTGCGTGTTGTGGCTAAGTTTCAGCAAAAGGCGGCATACGTGGTTGGGGTCACTCAATATTTGATACGCTAATATGAGATCACCGCGCAGCCTTCGATAACGTCCGCTGAAAATTCCCAACAACTTCAGCCTTCGGTGGTAAGAGTGAAAGCGCAGACCCTGCACATTCTTTGTTGCTCTCCGCTGTGGTGGTTTATCGCTTCTAGGTCACGCTTCAACCAAGCTTGCCAAACTTGGATAGCGTATTCAACATGCGGGCGCACGTAGGAATTGTGCATCATTGGGAAGATTGATGGGTCAACTCTCCCGAATGCTCTTCGCAGCATGCCGACATGCTGGTTGCCTCTTCTCGCAGCTACCTCAGCCTGTTTTGAACAGTTGAGGTCGCTCTGTACGATCACACCTAGGTCACGTTCCTGGGAGCTATTCTGCAGTCCGTTGGTCCCAAGTGAATAGGTGTAGTTATGACTATAGCGTAATTGTACGACGCGACATTTGTCTACATTGAACGGTAGGGCATTTTGAAGTGACCAGTTCGACACTGTGTTAAGATCGCACTGGAGCCGTTCATGGTCTTCCGGTCCTCTGATCCTTCGCCATATCTTGATATCATCAGCGAAAATTAGGAAATCGAAGTAATTGGTCTCGCGAAATCGTTGATGAACACCAAGAATAGACGAGGTCCAAGAACCGAGCCTTGTGGTACTCCGCACGCTACATCGATTGCATCAGACAATGATTCTCGGACTCTCACCACTAGCCATCGTTCTTGTAGAAAAATTGTCAATCCAACTCAGGATTGGATTGCCAATGCCGTAATTCCGAAGCTTGTGAAGGAGAATGCGATGGTTTAAGCGATCAAGTGCTTTCGAAAAGTCCAGGTAGATGACATCGACCCCTATTCCATCATCGACTGCTTCAGTCCAGCTATTACGTGCAATTACTAGGTTAGTATAACCTGAATGCTTTTGACGAAAGCCATGTTGCTCTGGGGCTATTAAATTGTGGCTTTCCATGTATTCCATCAGCACACCTGCGATGATTGATTCCATCACTTTGGACAGTACTGGAAGTAGTGTTATTGGCCGGTAGTTTGCAGGATCAGTGCGGCTACCTCCTTTATGGATAGAAGTGATGACCCCTCTCTTCCATACTGGTGGAATACGGTTCTCCTTTAGACATCGCTGATAGAAAATAGCTAGTGGTGCTGCTAGATCACTAGCTACTGCCGGTAGAGCCTTTGGTCGGATGTTGTCAGCTCCGGGAGAACTGTGGATACGCAAGCATAACAACTTCTTCAACACAGCTTCCGCAGTGAAGGTGATGTTTTCTAAACCAGATGGTGGAGTAGTAGAAATGAGGGGAATGTTTGTGCTCGTTGCCTCCTGGAAAGTTCGGGAGTAATGAAGCCGTAGGAGATCAGCCGCTTCCGTTGCTGATCGCGTGCACCCATCAGCGGTGACTAGTGCTGGAACCCGTCGCTTTACCTTTCGAAGGCCGTTAACGTGCCTGTACAGGAGTTTGCGATCCGTGCAGAATCGCTTCATTAACTTCTGCTGATGAGTAAGCTTGTCTTCGCGGATCAGTTACACACAGAAGTTACGATGGGTCACGTATGCAGTCCAGGTTTCAGCATTCGGGCAGTCCTGGTGATCTCGCCATGCCAAATCCCTTCGGGACATACATTTACATGTCCTGCTCCTCAAAAATGAAGTACGCTTGTTTTTAGGTTGGAAGGACTTCTGCTCTGATGCGTGCGCTACCAGTGTACTAAACGTCCTTGTAAATGTTTCCCAGACAACATCTGGGAGGCATTCGGTTAAGAAAGTCCAAGATGTATCCTTAACAAGCTTAGACAACACATTGTAGTGTGTGACAGTATGCACTTTATCCTCCTCCTTTTCAGGTATTTCACTTGTCGTCAAAGCGAATATTTCATTCTAATTTTTTCTCTCTCCTCATCTGTGTGTACACCAGAAGGAGACACGATTTTTACCAACATCCCATTTGCCGTTATTTATTTTGGATTTACTATGAATTTAAAGTATACAATACGAATACTTCTACGAGTTTATTGGCATAAATAAAAGTTCTCTAACTCTTATATATATATATATATATTAATATCACCATAACCACGTTAGGGGACCTGTTAAGAATTAGTTTTTCTAACCGCCTTGTACCAGATGTGCTAACTCCTCCAGATAGTTATTCGTAGGGCTGTATGCACAACCTAAAAGTAACAGTTGCTGGCGTACAGAAATGGTAATCCATGCTGCATTTTGTACGCTTTTCAGTGATGGATAGTCAATAGGTGATGCAGCTAGTCGAATAGTTTAGTTCACACTGACTGTGAGCCCTGCAACCATGCGCATTGTTCTCATGCAGGTAGAGAATGACACGTATCTGTTGCGCAACGTTTTCATTTACATGCTGGGAAACAGTTCCCACACTTTTGCGTGTGGTGTCTGGGCTTCTGCATTGATCATCAGTGGGCTATGTTATGCAATGCTCAATCGGTTGCGCCCGCTTGACCGGCTTAACGATCACCCTATACCCACTGCGATCAGGCCTGCATATACAGTGTTCAGCCAAGCTGTAAACGCATTCTATTCATTAAACAATCGACTTTCCAAACACGAATAACCACCAACATAAGCGATCTATGATTATTTATAACCCCACACCTTGTCTCCGTGTGTGCGGAGTCCACTATCGCTCGTATGGCTATTCCACAGCAATGAAACGACAACTGGCACGCTAAACGATCAAGTGCAATACATTTGACTGAGTTCCACGCCGTGTTCCCCAGAAGATGATGTACAATACCGCATTTCTATTTGCAACAATACTTTTGTTAATTCAAACGCAATCCATCGTATGTCTGTAATATGTATAGCACAACCGTAATCCATTTCTAGATGCTGCACCATCTGCTCGTAGTTCTGCTGTGTCGCACAATCGCGTGCTTCAGAAATCATCTGCTCCAGAATTTGTAAGCGCCACTCCCTTTGGCACCTCGGTTCCGTCGAGTACAGCACTCGTTTCTAGTTACCGTAGATGTTCACGTGCACATTCAGTGCTCATGCGCTTGCAGTACTCGGTTCCCCATCTCCAACGTATGGCGCGAATCCGGTCATGTTTCTAGCATATCGTGTCGGTGAACTGAGCTTTACATGCGGAAATTTTGTCGCGTCCCATGCGTCCCACGCATCCGTCCATGCATGTGGTCCCCGATTGCTGTCATGAAGTGGGCTACAGTGATGCGACATAACACGCCGCGGCTAATTTGACGATGCAACCTAGAGACCTGGGTATGTGATGGCAACTATCGGTGTGATGGGCAAGAGACACAGTTTCGCGAATGCGTGTGGTTGTGTGACGAGGGTATCGTTTGGTTGACGTAACCCGGAAACACCAAAACCAATCCTCATTGCTACGGCGATTGTTGCACTGTGCCATCGCGTTGTAACGAGATGAAGCATCGATAGCGCGGACAGGTCGCTTACAGATCGTCTCATCAGCTGACCAGATCCGGTGGCGTACGTGAACGAACAGCTGGCTCAGGACACCGGTTGTCGGCCGTGACAAAATATGAACACCGGATCTGTTGTACTAGTCAAGGCAGATCATGTGCACACTCCGCTTATATAGAACCAGCTCTATTCAAGCCAGCAGTTGAGGACAGGTGTGAACATTCTTCACTTCGCGCAATCCTTGATGGGGAATGTTTCAACATACTCATGAGTATATCTGACCTTGTGCCGTCTCGCTGCTTGTGTGCTTTTCGCTCTTTCTGCATGTTCCGGCTCATAGGCATCACGACGGCTGACCATAAATGCAGCTACACGCATATGTTTGGGTCCAGGTCTCTTCGATTTGAATAGCAAACCATTTTGTATGGTCAACAAACCAACCTTTTTGCACTCCTCACCACCTTGCCTTTGGTATTTTTAGTTTATGCAAAACTTTTGCTAACACATATCCACAGATAACCCAAATTACTGCAGCGCGCGTGATTTCGCGTCCAGTTTTCACCTCACGATTATGGAAGTGTCATCCATCTCAAAATGTTTTATCCACTCCTTTTCACGGAAGATGTAACCATCGTTTGCCACTTTTAGCGAAGGACACAATGTTTTATAGTCAGAGCCGAACTGCGCGCCTTGTTCTAATTAACTTATCGCCAATTTGATCACAACACTAGATTTGTGGCTCACATAAGTTTATTGCTTGGAATCCATTAAATGTTCAGTTGATTGCGTCACTGAAAGGGATGAAGACTTTTCTTTCGCTTGTTTCCCTATGCTGCACGTAATTTGGGACAGCATTATTCCTTTGAGATGCTTGGTAACCATTTACTGCATTTTCTTTTGTAGGTTGATGAGTTACTCTACTTCAACGCAGTTTTGGCGCCTAAAGAGTCGAGAGCTAAGTGGAGAGCAACGCAGGTATGGAAGGAGTGCGATCAAGAAGCGTTTGAAAAATATGGTGTAAAGGTGAAACCTTCTGCGACTCAACCGCTCCATAAGTTTGATCCGCTAAGTGTTAGTCACGACTGGAGTAGGGGGTCACACACAAAGCGGCAGTCAGATCCTACAAACGAGTTGCAAAATACATCTTCCGACAACATCGATTTGATTGAAAATGACGACACAGAAGCTGATGAAGAAATCCACGACATTGCGGTGGATACAACAATGACCCCAGGTCCGCATTTTGAAGGTGGAAATTATGACTTCGCTCTACACGACGATGAGGAAGTCGAGGACGATGATCAGTTAGTCTCAGCAATTGCTCGTCAAGAAGGCCTGGTGTTAGCAAATGATGTCAAATTTATAGAGGATGATAGCATTTCAGATTTAAACGAAATTAACCAGAACAGGTTGGCTGCTTGGCGAGCACAACAGGCACGTGAACCGCGTTTTACTAGTAGGGGTGTTGATGACAAGAAGACTCTACCTTTCGGTAATGGTGTTGTTCCACTCAAAAGTGGTGGGTGCGAGAGGCAAAGTGATTACGTCAGCTCATCTACCGAACATACTTCCCTTGAAGTTACTTCATCTGGGACTTCCAATGCCATAGTCAGTTGCAAGGAAGACGCTTCCCTCTCCTCAAGCGGATTTGGTGGAATTTCTATCGCAGTGCAAACAATTTCAACAGGGGATATAATGGCCACGCAACTCTACCATGACCCAGCCAAAGAAGCTTGCCCATCTGGTTGAATGGATACTGTGACGCACTTCGCACACCCTCCCTATAATCTCCCAGACTGAAATACATTCATTGATGTTATGATCTTATTGGCAAACAGCGTTGCAAATCGATGCTCAGTCGGAAAAAGTAACAGAAATGTCCTCTGATTTTATCATTTCTTTAGCATGAAAAAGAATCCAAATAGCCTGATTTTACACTTTCCCCTGTCTGATGCTTATCACCGAAAAAATATTATTTAGTGCTTCATCCCGTATAGCATTGTACTTCTGTGTTTTGTGTTCGCGGCACTGGCTAAAGGGCCAAGCTAAACCAAATCATTACGGCCCAACGCATTTGGGAAGCTCAAGAGGCAACTTAGGACCAGTTGAGTTCATTGCACTGCGATTACAAATCTATTGAGTTCGAAGTGTATCTGTACCCCGTTGCTTTAGCAACATCATCAGCACGCTTATGAACGTACTACATGACTAGTCCGTAGTTCATAGACGCATCAGTGGTGAACGATCCATTAGATCAATCGGAAAGCAAATCATCGCATTAATTTTGGTTTGTCTGAGTCGCTAAATAACAGTCAGAGGATTCTACCGTCTTTGGAGCGAATGCTTTAGGCAAAACCCACCTGAACATTAACATAACTCGCTAAACGTAATCCGATCTTTCCTATCGCAGAAGTGTCACTGAGCAGTGATTGAGATGGCTAGGAATGGAGCTATTGCCCAAAGCACACTGATATCGTACGCCTATCAGAACGGAGGTGGCATGCGCAATCGCAGGGGAACTTGCAAAATCGGTAGACTAGAATCGGTTTGGAGGGTTTCGGTGACTGTCCCATTGATCTTATTGGCAGAGGCTGACTTCAACGTCAACCGAGGCCACAATTAGGATTGCATGTCGCAATCCAAGACACACGGCGGAGGCTCCAAAGCTCAAAAAACATCTTCCAACCGCTGTGCCAAGTACTGCTGGCGGAGCTCAATGGTCTAGTGATCACGGCGATAGCTGCCAGCCACTATGCGCCGAGTTTCACTCCCCAATGCTCGTATTGGCAGAAGATGACTTCAAAGTCGACCGAGGCCACAACTGAGATTGCTTGTCTCAGTCCTGAACACACGGCGGGTGCAGCAAGATCCGAAAATGGACTAAAATCGGTTCTTCACAATTTTCACCTCACTTATAGATTGATTATGCAGCTGAGAGTCTGTTGGAATATGGCATACAATTTAGGAAGAACACCACAAGCACGCTAAGTGCGTAATCTATGTAATGCAATATTGCTTTACTGGGCTGTTCCTTTGTTCCCTCGGCGATTGCCAAGAGTGCTTGGAATGCCAATTTATGACGCTATCAGAGCGATGTTTCCGGCTTAGTACACTTTTCGCTTATCTTGCTTACGTCCAGTATACCAGAACTCCATTGTTTCAACCGCATCGTTGGTGTCGCGACCCCGCTTACCGTCATAGATCCCACTAGTTTTCTGCCACATCCAATGCCCCATTGGCTTCACGTCTATTGGTCTAATCAGCTTCCATTCAAAGTGTTCACGCAGCTGAACCGTACCACCATGAACTGACGATGAGGTTGGTTGGGCTTAGCCGTCACGAAAATCACTTCGAGGTGCAGGCCACAACATTCACGGTACTTCTCAAGTGGTATCCCGGTGAGAGGGGCCTGACGGAAACAGGGAAATCGCACATTTCAAGGGGACACTAAAGGCCGTGGCCGATGGGCTTTTCAAATTAAGTAAGCATTTGACTAAAAGTATCTAGCTTTGATGGCTGTTTTTAACCAGATAAACCCAGTCGGACTATTGTGGGGTAGTCAGATTTCTCTTGCTATTTAACACAGGGATATTGTTTTTCTAGTTGTCCAGTGAACCACACTTCGGTATGTGATCCAGCATCTTGGCAGTGAGGTGACCAACTGGCTTTTCCAACAACAATTGGCGTTAAGAGTAACTTGAGCTACAGAATCCCTCCTTCAACTTGGGTTACTTTGGGAATGTTATACCGGTTAGTCAAAAACCCAGCAGGGTTCTTGCACCAACTAACTTTCACGGCGTATACCGTCATATGGGTGGCGGTATGTCCAATATGGTGCATCCAATAGCTCATCGACAAAACTACGTAGGTACTTGTTCCATGTCGGCCGGTGGCCGAGTGGTCTGCACGTTTACTTCGCAACCATAAGGTCACCGGTTCGAATCCGCGTAGGGGTGGGCGTCCTCGCGGTATACTCAGCCCGCGCGCGACTGGTGGTGGTCGCGCGGCAGCAAAACGCCGTTACGGCATTCAGCTGACACGTTATTTTATTCGTTATTATTTACTTGTTCCATGTTCCCTATTAGTATGAGTCTGAATTCCCCTGCGAAATGGCCAGTCATAACGAACACCCATCGGTAGCTACCCGGCATCTTCAAACGTAGGCTCATCCTGTAGCAAGAACAGGGCGGAAAGAAGGTACTACCTTTATTGCAGGTGACAGCGACTTGTCTACTTCACACACATGCACACATAAATAGGTGACCCTTTTCATTCACTCGGCCACAACTTGGTGAATCTTTCTCAAATGTTTGAGTTTTACCTTCGTTTTTTAAGTCGCGTTCTGATCAGCCTGGATTTGTTCTAACCATCATGTCTTGCCTAATAAAAGTTTCATCACCATGTCTGGCGTCAATACTGGAGGCGTCGACAAAAGCATATTTATCTGGTTCGTTGGTATCTCTACCATTACACTTTCTGTTTCTCCTGACTTAGGCTTGCCACTACTAACTCCGTTGCATTGGTCTGTCTGACCTCGTTTATGACGCATGTACCAACTTCTTTTCTCTCCTGTGTTTGTGCTTCTCCTCTCTCTCTTGTGACCGTAGCTCCCCGCATCCCTACAGTCAGAAGCACCACGCAAGCCAATTGAGTAACTATCACTCACTGAATGTAATGCAGGCTGTTTGAGATTTCAGTGGGCTATTGGGTGTAGAACGCACCTCACAAGGCCGGTACACATAAACACATCTTGTCGTCGACCTCTTTCCATCGCCGTTGGCGATTATTGACTAGTCCAACGGGTCAGCGGTTCTCTGACTGGCACCTATGGTGTAACATCGCTGAGAACTGTAGCAGTTTAAGATTCAGCACTAGGAAACCTTCATCAATAGTCAAAGTAGCCACTAACCACTTGAATGGTGCTTTGTGACACATTTCCCGTGGATTTATCTAGCTGTATCCAAGACGTCACCAAAACCAGCAGTATTTGTGGATACGAAGTACATACCTTGCACTAGCAGGAACACTGCGCATCTGTGGCTAACAAGCACGCTAGTTTGCATTGTAGAACGGGAAAGCTGTACTCGCGCAATAATTTATCACGAACAACAGCAACTTGTTGACAATCCCCGCAGCGTCGTCAGAGTTAAAATTCTGAGGGGTAGACGGTGTCAAAAATCCCCTGTTCCTGGACTCACCAAGAGTTTCGCATTATAACAAGTATAGATGATACTTCCTTGACTTTAAAAGTGGTCTGATAAGTACACCGCTTGTAGAGAGCCTCGGTCTTGCTCTTTCCCATCATCGCACTCAGCGACGCGTTTCCTCCCAACGCACAGATTGAGTAGGGAGTGGAACTCAGCACATAGTGGTTGACGGCTTTCACCAAGATCACCAGATCATTGACCTCGACGTTTTCCGTTTGGGTCATCACCAAATCGACACAGCCTATATCAGTTAATGTACACATGTCAATGTGTTGTCAAGTTGTCTTTTGAATGGTAACAAGGTAGGAGCGAAAGTGATGTGGGCTGGAGGAATGTTCCGTAGTTTCTGTATTAGCGTGTGCTTATATGGGGCTACGTTTGGTATCAAATCATTCGTTCTTTGAGATCGGTTAAATGCAGCAGCTAGCGAAGTGGTTGTGATCCTCTAGTCTCAACAGCTCGCTTTCCATTTAGTGTTGTCGATTCTAATGATGAGGAATACGCGCTAATCCCTGTTCTAGCTTAAATACCGATCTTAGTAGGAGACGAGTGGCTTCATTGCACTAGCGCAGTTTTCTTTAAGTAGCCCCCTGTCGCTGCCCTATTCGCGTTCGCAACCAACATCTATTCATCAGCTGTCCGTGATATACTCGACGGGATCATTTTATGGGTCGGTCTGAGGAACCCAATATTAACGCAACTGCTTCCATGTGCTTTGTGAATCCCGTCCTTTCGTCACAGCCTACGGGTATACGACGTCAGATATGTATTGGTTACATCATCAACATCCCGACGAAGTGAATATTTTCCCTATGAAAGAGAACCGAAATATGCCCCCAGAACACCTTTTGGATTATAGTCGTCAGTATCGACGGTTGGCAGGCAATTATCTGCTGGTCATCGATACTTAGGTAAAAATCTATGTAAATTCCTGGTCAACTACGCCAGGGGGAGTACACCGTTAGCTGTACAAAGCGGTTGGACCAAATCAATTCATCGCTATGCAAAATGTTCGCAAACTGACAGACTAGATAGGCTTGTTTGGGTCCCTGTACAGATGCAAAGTATTCAGTGATCAGCTTTGGATCCACAAAACTTAGTTTACAGCATCATCCGCCTTGTGAAACTACACCTGTTACATTAACGAATGAAACTATATCGACCACAATGAACTGTAACCGAAACATTTGTATAGGTAGAACGACAGCAGCCAAAATATGCTCAGGTAAAATCAATTGATCTGCTTTGGTCACCATCACGTGGCACTTAGACGGTTCAGATGTGTACAATCTGATACGGTTAAACAGACTGACTGATGACAGTTCACACCCTACAATGTACGCAAAATTGAGAGGTTGGACCTAGCCGATATCTATCTTAGTAATGGAGAAATAAAGCACTTGATTAGAACGGGTAAAAGAGAAAATGCTTGACAAGTCCCGTAGGTTGGTCAGGGTGCGAATTACAAGATACAAAAGCAGTGTCGGTAAAATAAGCATCCGAGATACATGTCTCACCAATAGGTTTAGAGTAGCACGGATGTGAATACTCTTGCCTGGTGTTTGAGAGGATTATAACGCCGTCCACTGTTTGTTCTGCTCTAATGCTATCTTCCGATGTTCGTGGGCTATATCATGTCGTATAAATGTGTCAGGGTACCGTAAAACCATTTGTTGTATAGTGACCAGCTGCGAGCATGAATTATATGCGTTGGGAGGGAGTTCCAGGGTTGTGACACTCGGAAGGAGCAAAGTTTCCTAAATAGTCCAGTCAGCTGTACCCAGTGGCCATCTTAAATTGATGA